AGCAGGCCCTTTTTTCTTGGTTGGGAGTTTAATGCTGTTCCTTACCCAAGGATGGCCTGAAGGAGGCTGGGGTGCTACCCATGTGACCAGCGTGGGACTTAGAAATGTTTAAAAATAATCTTGCTGAGTTCTTCTAGCCACTGTCCGGAGCTGTGGCGCTGCCAGATCCCTCCCTGGCTGGTCTCTCATCCGTCAAGGCGGTGGTCATCCCCCGGCACCCCTCCCAGGTTGTGCTCGCTGGATATGCCTGCAGGGTGGTGGCATCAGGAGTCCAGGCTCCAGGGAAAGAGGTGTCAAGGTCTCTGTCCCTGTCTGGAGCCCAGCACAGACCACCAAGGGAGGCCCCCGCTGAAGCCTGCCCCCTAGAGTAGACCAGGGTGAGGCTGGGCCCTCTTCTTGAGGGGGACTTGTGCCTTAGTCCTGGATGCCAGGCTTGGCGGGCCCCTTGGGACACTGGTGTGAGGTGAGGGCACGGGAGCCCAGGACTATGGCTGCAGTGGCCTCTCATGTCCCGTCAGGACCTGCACCGAATAGGCCCCTCAGTTGATGAACTGTGGAGAGTAGATCGGACACTTCACTCAGTGACCATGACGTGGGCACCTCAGGGGTTGGAGGAGGAGGTGACAGCGTTTCCGTGTTATTGTTCGGTGCCGATGCATAGTGACCTCTTGTACAGTATCAGGCACCACTGCCCAGTCCTGTGCCAGCCCCACAATCGCTCCTGTTGGCGAGCCCGCTGTGGCAGCCATGGGGGTCAGTTCATCTTCCCTGAAGGTCGTAGTCCTTCTCACTGACTCTGCTTATCAACCACGATGGCCTCTTTGAGGGGCTGGTCTCTCTCAAGACACGCTGCAAGTATGTGACCTAGAGTCCTGTCATCCTCCCTCCTCAGGAGCATCTTCTGGTAGTCAGTGATACAGTCAGTATTCTTCACCAGTATCCTAACTTCAAAGCATCATTGTCCCCTCCAAGCTTCTGTATTCACTGCCCAGCTTTTGATGTGCGTGAGGCCATTGAAAAGACCCTGGCTTGGGCCAGGCACACCTGGGTCCTCAGGGTGGCCTCTTTGCTCTTTGGCCCCGTAAAGCGGTCTTCTGAGGCAGGTTTGTCTAATGCAAAGATGATTAAGGGAGCCGGAGGAAGAATGGATGCCTTTGCATCCTGGTGCTGACGGAGGATATGGAATATGCCATGGCCTGCCAGCAGAAACAGCAGACCTGATCTAGAAGTACAGCCAGAAAGCTCTGTAGAAGCTAGGATGAGGGGATTTCCTCTCGTGTATTTTTGACCGATCTCTGGAGTAGGACACCCTCCTGGGTACAGGAGAGTCAGTGACAAGACAAGGGGGAGCCTCGCCTCGTAGCAACCTGGATTGACCCAGTGGCTGCAACGACGGACGGGTGCAAACCCAGCAGAGATCTGTGAGGATGACGCAGGGCCGTTTGCTCTGTCGTACGCAGGTTGTTTATGAGCCAGGACAGCCTCTCTGGTACCTGACGGAACAACAGTAGTCCCAAACGCTTGTGCAGTTGTTAGAGGGCTGCCGAGATAACCCAGCTGAGAAGCTAAGTGATGGGGGGACAAGCTGATAATCTCTCCGGGCCTCAGTTTCCTTATCTGTAAAGTAGGGTTAAGTTTGGTATTCCTGTTGTTACGGACATCCATGGAGGTGTTCAGGGCTCCCTGTGGCAAGTGTTCAGTAACAAGCACCCCGATGTCCCCCATTGTCTCCCTAGGCTCGTGGCTCTGCGGGTAGTAGGAGGAGGCATGACGCCGCCTCTCAGGAAGATCACGACAAACCTTACGTCTGTGACAGTAAGTACTGACCTGTCCCACCTTCCTTCCTCTGCCAGCCCCCATCCTCCTCTGCAAGCCCTCAGCTGTCTGGCCAGTGCCCTCCCCTCCTGTCACCACCCTCACTGGCTGCTGTTCCTGGCACCAGGTGTATCTGCAGGAGGGAGGGAGGGAACAAGCAAGTAAGGAGTAGCCTCTCTGGCCTTTGATGCCTGGCGCCCGCCTGTCTCCAGCAGTGCCCTTCCCTCCTCCTCCCTCTCACTCTCAGCCCCCTCTCTCACTCTCAGCCGCATCCCCCTATGGCTGCCTGGCTCCTGGTTTAGGATGAGCAAGTAGAGCAGGGAGGAGGAGGGGCCTCAGGAGAGGCTAGGAGAACCTCCAGAAGGCACCAGCTTTAGGAAAGATGGCCATCAGCCTCCAGAGAGCCTCTCT